TGTGTTTGTGGTTGTGTGTTTGTGGTTGTGTCTTTGTGGTTGTGTTGTTGTGGTTGTGTGTTTGCGGTTGTGTGTTTGTGGTTGTGTGTCTATTGTTGTGTGATTGTGGGTGTGCGTTTGTTGTTATGTTTGTGGTTGTGTTTGTGGTTGTGTGTTTGTGGTTGTGTCTTTGTGGTTTTGTTGTTGTGGTTGTGTATTTGTGGTTTAGTGTTTGTGGTTGTGTGTCTGTGGTTGTGTGTCGATTGTTGTGTCTTTGTGGGTGTGTGTTTGTTGATATGTTTGTGGTTGTGTTTGTTGTTGTGTTTGTGTTCGTGGTTGTGGTTGCGTGTTTGTGGTTGTGTTTGTGGCTGTGTGCTTGTGGTTATGTGTTTGTGGTTGTGTTTGTGGTTGTGTGTTTGAAGCATACTATCTGCCATTCAATATGCCATTCAATCTGCCATTCTATCTGGCAATCTATCTGACATAATATCTGGCATACTGTCTGGCATTCTATCTGGCATATTTTCTGGCATTCTTTCTGGCAATGTATCTAGCAATCTATCTGACACACTATTTGGCATACTATCTGCCATATCTTCTTGCAGCATTCTATCTGGCAATCTACTTCGCATTCTATCTGGCATTTTATCTGGCAAACTATCTGGTTGAGGTCCAGCGGTGCACACTGCGATCGGATCCTTGCGGTTGAGGTCCAGCGGTGCACACTGCGATCGGATCCTTGCGGTTCAGGTCCAGGGGTGCACACTGCGATCGGATCCTTGCGGTTGAGGTCCAGGGATGCACACTGCGATCGGATCCTTGCGGTTGAGGTGCAGGGGTGCACGCTGCGAAGGGATCCTTGCGGTTGAGGTCCAGGGATGCACACTGCGATCGGATCCTTGCGGTTGAGGTCCAGGGGTGCACACTGCGAGGGGATCCTTGCGGTTGAGGTCCAGGGGTGCACACTGCGATCCGGAGCTGGCCAGACAAGATCGGCGAAGCAGATTGGCGAAGCAGATTGGCGATGAAGATTGGCGAGGCGATGAAGATTGGCGAGGAAGGAAGCAAGGAGGAAGGAAGGAAGGAAGGAAGGAAGGAAGGAAGGAAGGAAGGAAGG